CGAATGTATATGCTTATAAAGCTCCTTAAATTTCAAGATTAATTACTGCAAAATTCGCTTCAGAATGAAACAGAGCTGTGTACTTTAATTCAAGTTTTTAGCTTCTGTTTTTGAAACATGAGAACTCTTATGTAGCGATGTAATCATATTTTTAAAATAATAATTATATATATATATATGTGTGTGTGTGTGTGTGTGTGTGTGTGTGTGTGTGTGTGCGTATTTTAAAACTATTTTATGTTTATATATTCTTTTTATCGGTACATATATTTATGTAAATACTCTGCTTTATAATAAACAGTATTAAACAACATTTACCGACCTGAAGAGCATTTACTTAAATATTTGTATCAATAAAAAGAATGTATGAACATAAATATGTCTTAAAGTAATTGTCGGATTTTGCTCATATATATATATATATATATATATATATATATATATATATATATATATATATATATATATATATATATACAAATTATTATCTTTTTTTTCTAATATTTCTAAAACAGTCAATTCACAGAAAACTTTCACACAATGTTGGCAACACTGACCTGCGCAATCACTGAATTTTTCGTACTGATCTGCGCAATGTAAACAAACTGCCGCCATATTTGTTATCAGCAGTGTATATATATATATATATATATATATATATATATATATATATATAGATAGATAGATAGATAGATAGAGAGAGAGGGATATACATAGATATATAAATAAAACGTATTAACGAATTAGTACTGAAGTACACATACAGAAACACGACCAAATAAATTTATTTCGTTCTGATCCGAGGAAGCCTTTCTGGCTATGCCAAACCACGTAATCAGCTCAATAAAACAGTTTTATACTCGACAATTTTTTAAAACTTTGTCTGGATTCTACACACACATGTACGTATACAGGTATATAGATTGATTATTCCGGACTGGCTGACATGGATGGAAAGGCAACTAGATACAAAATTGAACTAAATAAATATTAAATAAAAAAAAATAACTATCGATTAGGTGATCAATATCTTGGAATGAATAATAGTTTCTTTAGCATATCAGAAGCCAAGCGGAAGATGTAAACAGACAAATCGATCGACGCGAACATTTGACAAATGGCTCGGATTATTGACTGAAATAGTAAAGATTGATCAATAAAGAGAAAATAAAAATAGCGTACAATTTAAACATTAATATTTTCAAAGTAGGAACAAGTCTATGATAATATATATACAAGATATCGTGTTACTGTATAATAAATTAGAGAAAGTTTTGGGTGAGTGGTACGAACAGGACTATTGCCGGTAAATCATATCGCCTACAGAACCAAGATCATGTTAACCCATAGCAAGGCGTCGCAATTATTAGCACTGAAGATTTATCTGAGGAAATCAGTCTATTTATAAAAATCCCAATACCTAAATACAATACAAATAGATAGATAGATAGATAGATAGATAGATAGATATGAATAGAATGAGATGGATAGAAATGAACAAATTGAGAACGATAGCTAGCTAGATATGAACAGCCTCAAACAGATAGATTTGAATAGAATGAGATAGATAGATAGATAGATAGATAGATAGATAGATAGATAGATAGATAGATAGATAGATAAGTATTGAATGAGATCGATAGATAGATATGGAAAAACTTAGAAGGGTAGATAGATGTATAATTATTATTTCAAACTAGTTTTTTAATTCGTTTACGGTTATAAACACCATATATAGTATTTATTTTATATATATATATATATATATATATATATATATAATTTTTTTAAATTAGAAAAAATGATCTATCAGTAAATTAATATCTGAATCGCATTCTAATTTTTTTTATTTTAAATCTTTTTAATCCTTTGTATCTTCTTAATTTTCATTTTAATTTTAATTTTAATAATATCTATCTATAATTATCTATCTATATATATATATATATATATATATATATATATATATATATATATATATATATATATATATATTCAGACAGATAGATCTATCGATAGTGAGATTATATCTATCTAAACTTAAATATATATCTAAAATCATATTATCTATCTAGATATGAATCTATCTATCTGAATCTATTATCTATCTATCTATCTATCTATCTATCTATCTATCTATCTATCTATCTATCTATCTGCCGGACTGCTTCTGTTCATGTTTAGCTATAAATAGATATGCATATACTTAGAGAGATATATAAACATTGAATTATTAATCAGACAGGAAAGAAAACCTGAAACTCGGTGAGTGGTGTTTCTTCTGACCCTCTGGGGCTCTCTTCTTACCGAAGAAAGAGGCAGTGAAGTAGAGAGTTTTCCCGTTGGAGTAGAAATGCTGCAGTTGTAGTATCTGTTATGTGCCAGAGACCTTCTCTCTCCCTTGCGCCCTCCCCTCCCAGTTGCGTAACATCTGTTCTGTAACGTTGGTGTAACTGGCTATAACCCTTAGACAAGCTATGACCAACTTATACAAGCTATGACTAGCTAAGCCCAGCTTGAGTCCGCTGCTCGAGTGGAAACACTGTTGTACCCACGTTAAAAAACGACCTTGTGTCGCAACCTGACTCAGTGAGGCATAAAGGTAAATCGAGGGTCTGTACTGACCTACTGGCCATATTCCCCTCCTGGATTTAGCTTTCTATCTACAGATGGTTACCTTTTCCAGTAGCTGCATAATTTTTTGACGGAGAAATCATTATATGATGAAAGCGATATTCAAGCAGGATTTTACTAAAATTGTGGCAACAAGTCACTGGAAATAATCTGAAAAATGCTACAGCCACTCGTATCCTGTCAACTAGCTAATCCCCGTTGCAAACACCCACAGAGTACATCTAAACTGAGCCCACCTTAGTTACAGTTTCGGGGAGAGAAAATCTAAGGCCTGAACGCTTAAACCCTTGGCCAGGATGACTTGTGAACTCGTTTAGTTAAAGTTTCTGGGAGAGAGTGCGCGTTATCTAACAAGGCCCAAAACATCAGTCACGATGACCTGTGAACTCGTGCTAGCACAACCATTGAAGGCAAGGGTTTTGGTTACCCAATTTTACACAGTTCATCCGGAATCGAAGCCCGACCGATCTGGCGTCAGCCAGAGATTCTACCTCCAAGTTATCGGAAGGGAAATTTTGATGTTTTTACTATGCAAATGATGTCAGTAGTTAGGAGAGCTCGAGTAGAAGAGCAGTGCATTAGCAGCAGTAGCCACTGCTTAAAAATCATCTCTTCCACTTTGAGAGCTCAATCGAATTATTTCGAGAGTATAAAATATATATGTGTGTGTGTGTGTGTGTGTACACAAACATATATATATATATATATATATATATATATATATATATATATATATATATATATATGAGAGATAGGTAGAGAGAGATAGATGGATATGAAAATAAAGAGATAGATATATATATGAAACACATACAGACGTGTTATAGACACATAGACACAAAATACACACACATACACACATATATGCACACACACACACACACACACATATATATATATATATATATATATATATATATATATATATATATATATATATATATATATATGTATATATCCAAGTCCGATGAAAACGAATAGAGTATACTTCCAACTCTTCACGAGTAATTTACAATCGCCTGAGGAGGCGCATCGTTATGCGTTGAAAGACAGCTGCAATTGTGTAGCGATTCTTACACAGTTTTGTTGTAATATCTTAAAATAATATATACAAATTATAATATATATATATATATATATATATATATATATATATATATATATATATATAGGTAAATTGATATGAATAATTAGATATGAAAAACCGAGATAAATACACACACACACACACACACACACATTTTAATATATCAGTTATTGCTACTTTTGGTAGTGGGTAGGGATGTATTTTTCAATGACTGATACATTAAAATATGGACATATTGAACACCTAGACACCCCTGTCTAGAAAAATAGATTTATCTGTAATCTTGGAAACATGAATTTTGTTTTAGCTGTGTCTTTAAAACCCACTAATTTTAAAAGTTACTCCAAAATTCGCTTGAGGATGAAATGGAACTAATGTCTTTAATTTAATTACAAAAAATTAAATTCGAGGCTTTTGGCTTCCATTTTTGAAACATGGTTAGAACTGTGTAGCGGAAAAAACATTTTTAAATCAATTAATTTATAATATTAATGCTCTGTAAATTTACAACGAGCACTATTTTGTAAAAATAAAATATCTATAAGAATATATCTTACTGTTCTTTCTTTTATATATCTTACACACACACACACACACACACACATATATATATATATATATATATATATATATATATATATATATAAATATAATCGCTATCAAAGACCTATCCCAAATAACAGAAGCAACGTCACTTGAAGACTTTGAGCAGGACCAATAGCTAAAAGAGAGTAAATAATGACACAATCAAGATATTGGCTTTCCATATTACTTCAAACAAAAGTTGAGGAAGGAAACCCCCATTAATCGTGGAAAGACCGATCATCTTGAGAAAGCTATTTTGTTTTAAGAGAAAGTTTTTAAACCTACAGTAATAATAGCTGCTCGATCAAAGAAAAAAAAAAGAGATAGAAGCGTTTAACGTCTCATGTTAATACGTCATAAATGATTAACAAATTTCGTTTTGATTGCGTATAAAGAACAAAAGACATACGCTACTTGGTTTCAGTGAGAAAATGAATGAAAGAAAGACAGAAGCAAAGAAGGAAAGATACAAGTGGTTCATGGCTGTTTCTGTGAAATGGAAAAAAATATTGTCAATTTCAAATCTTTTCATTTGTATCCCCTTCTGAAAATAATGACCAAAATTCATATTTATGATTATTATTGCAATATTTTGTTAAAGTTTTTAAGCCCAAATATTTAATGATGTGATAAAGGGATTTCTATGGATATTTTATTCTCGCAGGAACTCGTAATGAAAGAACACTGCTTGATTTCAGTGAGAAACTGAAAGAAAGAAGGGAAAATAGAATTGGAAATAGAGAGAGAGTGAGAGGAGAGAGAGAGAGGAGAGAGGAGAGAGGAGAAAGAAAGGAGAGAGAGAGAGAGAGAGGAGAGAGAGAATCAGTATTAAGCTGATGGGAACAGATACTACACTTTGATCTTAGACAAAAGACCGAGAAGGAAGAGACAAGCATAATTATAATCAGATGTTTGTTATTATTGCAATATTTTGTTAAAGTTGATAAGCTCAAATATTTAATGATGCCATAGGAGAATTTCTAAGGGTATTTTATTGTCGTAGAACTCACCTTGACCTTTACTGAATTATTAACTTAAGAATTAAGCTTCATCAGAAAATTCATAATAGGAAAAACGCAAAATTTTCATGGGTTAAATGTATTAATTATTATTATCATTATGATTGGCGTTTATCTCTCGAATGTCTTTCATCAGCTAGCTACATCTACATAGGAGAACTCTGAATTCAAAGCCTGCGGAGAAGGGAAGAGAGAGAGAGAGAGAGAGAGAGAGAGAGAGAGAGAACCAGGGTAAGCTGATGAGACCAGATACTACACTTTGATCTTAGCCAAACGACCGAGAAGGAAGAGACAAGAATAATTATAATCAGATGTTTGTTATTATTGCAATATTTTGTTAAAGTTGATGAGCTCAAATATTTAAAGATTCGATAAAGGGATTTCTACGGATATTTTATTGTCAGCAATCTAGCCAGGAACTTACTCAGTGATTAACTTAAGATTCATCAGAAAAATTCAAATAGGAAAACCGTTCAACTTTTAGTTAAAACACACAATTAATCATAGTAATATAAGGAATAAAATTTATTTAAACTACAAAAAAAAACATTAACTTTACTGTAACTGATGCATTCTTATATATATATATATATATATATATATATATATATATATATATATATGTGTGTGTGTGTATATATGTATGTGTGTGTATATATATATATATATATATATAGGTATGGGAGTGTGTGAGCTTGTGTGAAAATGTAGATATTTTAAGAAAATCCACAAAGAATGAAATAGGCCCAAGATACTATCTAAATGACATCAGGTTCTCCCAGAGGAGAAGGCCGTGGCCGGTGTCCGCGTTTGCCATCTTTTGTCGTTAATTAAGTTTTCGGGAGCCAAAAAAATGTTACTTCCATTCCAAAATTCCAGCATCTTTATTTCACTTTGCCCGAGGTCTGCTTGGCAGGCAATCCGAAGTTCGCTTGCCCAAGGGGGCAAGTGGTTGCAGCTCTCCAAGACATGCCGTTGGTGTGGGCAGTGTGAAAGATTGGTCGGTGCGAGGAACGGACAAATACCTTGGAGCGGAACAGATAGAGGCAGACAGATAGATAGATAGATAGATAGATAGAGAGAGAGAGGGCAGATAGAGAGAGAGGCAGATAGAGAGAGAGGTAGACAGAGAGAGATGGTGTGTGTGTGTGTGTGTGTGTGGTGACGTAGACGTAATAGAAAAAAAAAAAGAAATATATTTGGAAATAAAAAGGGAAATGAGTCTAAGCAGGGACGAAAATTCGATGGAAACAAAAAAAAAACGGATAGATAGATAGAAACACGCACTGTTAGATAGATAGATAGATAGATAGATAGATAGATAGATAGATAGATAGAAAGAAAGAAATTCGCACTGATAGATAGAAACTCGAACTGATAGATAGATAGATAGATAGATAGATAGATAGATAGAAACAAGCACTGATAGATAGATAGATAGATAGATAGATAGATAGATAGATAGATAGATAGATAGATAGATAGAAATTCGCACTGATAGATAGATAGAAACTCGAACTAGATATATCCGGAGAGACTGAAATAGTTAAATATATATAAAAAGACTAATATAGATATGAAAAGATAGAGAAATATACATATAGATATATATGAAAAGAATGAGATACCAAGATAGACAGATATGAAAAGACTGACATAGATAGATAGATAGATTTGAAAAGACTGACATAGGTAGATAGATAGATAGATAGATAGATAGATAGATAGATATAAACAGACTGAGATAGATAGATAGATAGATAGATAGATATGAACAGACTGAGATAGATAGATAGATAGATAGATAGATAGATAGATATAAACAGACTGAGATAGATATATAGATAGATAGATAGATAGAACAGACTAGATAGATAGATAGATAAATAGATGAGATAGATAGATAGATAATAGATGAGATAGAAGATAAATAACCAGATAGATAGATAGATAGATGGATAGATAGATAGATTTGAACAGACTGAGATAGATAGATAGATAAATAGATAGATAGATATGAAAAAACTGACATAGATAGATAAATAGATAGATAGTTAGATAGATAGATAGATAAATAGATATCAAAAGAATGAGATAGATAGATATATAGATAGTAAAAGACTGAAATAGATTAGATTGATAGATAAATAGATAAATAGTCATGAAAAGACTGATATAGATAAATATGAAAAAATAGAGATAGATATATGTGAAAAGACAGATATAGATAGAAAAATAGATAGATATGATATGATAATAATGAGATAATTATGAAAATACTGAGATGGATATATAGATAGATATGTGAAAAGACTGATATATATATATATATATATATACACAAACAGAGAGAGAGAGGGAGAGAGAGAAAGATAGATAGATATGCAAAGAAGGAAATAGATACCTATATGCTAAGCAAGAATACTTTTTTTAAATTCTGTTATATATACACACACACACACACACACACACACATATTGAAATGCAATTGTCATCTTTGATGATGGCTTATGTAAGCTGAAAGCTTAGATTTGATTTAAACATGTATCAATATGGTGATTTCCTTTCGTCTTTCAATGATAATGTGATTAAGCCTATCAAATAATATGAAAGGAACTTACATGAAGTAAATATACAAAACTTGTCTATATTAATTAATGAAACATGCAGTAATGAAAAATTGCTGCCTTAATATATAATATATATATATATATATATATATATATATATATATATATATATATATATATATATATATATAAGCAAATATATGAATATAGATCTGACAGTATGAAAATAAATGAAATAAATGCCTTGCAGCTTCTTGCTCCGTGGTTCTTTGAAATTCTCTTCTGTAGACCCAGCCTTTAAGAACTGAGGTAAACAATCTAACTATCCGCTGATTAAACTTTTAATCTTCCGGCAAAGTTCTAAACGTTCTAATTAACTCTGAACTGGTTAAGCATGTATTTGCAGAGCTTTCGCTCTCCTTGGTCAACGTTAATGATGCGTTAACGATTATGGCTGAAACGTCAAATTGGCAGATTATCTCAAAAAGGGCGTAAGATAACATTTTTGGCAAGAAACGGTAGTTAGTAATTTGTTCTTTTTTGTCTTTATATATATATATATATATATATATATATATATATATATATATATATATATATATATATATACGTATACTTGATGAGGTCCGTCAAAAACGTGTGAATTTCTTTTTCATTTTTCATTTCAGCTTTTGGAAGTAAAGTCTGATGATCTAGAACCCTGTTAAAGGGTTATGGTGAAATAGCGTATTACATGGAATCTTAACGTGGTCTGTCTTTTATTCAAATATATATATATATATATATATATATATATATATATATATATATATGTAAGCAAATATATGGATATAGATCCGACAGTATTAAGAAAAATATACTGAAAAACAAACAAAAATCCTAATATGCGATTATGCTGTTTTAATGTTTAATGCCAACGTCGGACGTTTCGGTCTAATAGACCATCTTCAGGACATATTCATAAAACATAATTAACATAGACCATATACAATTCAACATGAAAAAGGCGATGGACATAAAAGCAATATCAATCCAAACAGATAACTGAAATCTTTTATAAGATCAGCATAATCGCATATTAGGATTTTTGTTTATTTTTTTAGTATATTTTTCTTCATATATATATATATATATATATATATATATATATATATTAAAAGACATTTTTATGTTTAACGTTCTTTTTTTTTATAGATACAAGTATTTAAGTAAATGCTTGTTTATAATAAACAGTATTAAATAACATTTACCGGCCTGAATATTTAATACTGTTTATTATAAACAGAGCATTACTTAAATACTTGTATCTATAAAAAGAACGTTAAACATTAAAATGTCTTTAATAAATAAATTGTCGGACTTTGTCCATTTCTTAATATATATATATATATATATATATATATATATATATATATATATATATATATATATATATATATAATATATATATATATATATATATATATATATATATATATATATATATGTAGCTATCATTTTGTGCTGAAAAACAGCATACCATAATGAAAATAGACCATAAGATTTATCTTCGACATGTTGATATCATTATTAAGACGAAAGTTTTTCCTGATTATTTTAATCAAAAACTTTAAAATATAGAACTCGTTACTGGATGTAATCAATATTTACAAGAATTTTTTTCATTTTTTTAAAAAATTAATTATAATAATTTATAATAATTTTAAAATCGTTTAAAATTCGACATTATTTTCTTTCTTTAATATATTGTAATTAAGTGGAATCTATCTTTACGAATCAAAAATCAAAATACTTTATAAAAGTCGTTTCTCCATATTTTAAAAATTTTTTGAATATTTTTCAGTTTAAGCATTTCCTTTTTTGTATGTATAGCATTCTATACATGACATTATTTAAAGACCATGTGTTGTAAAAGTTGTCTTCCCTTTACTGAGAAATTCTATGTCTGCAATTTATTGATTTCATGTTTACGTCTCAACAGGCTGTGCACATCATGCCTACAAAGTTTAAAAACTTTAAAATAATTTTTCCTTTTTTTTAATTTCTATTTCAGTAAATATTTTTATTTTGTGTATTTATTTTATTGCGGGTCTTACTTCAACTGAGTAAATTTAAAAAAAAAATCTTTCTTTATGAAGAAACAAGCTAGAAGAAATGTGTTTTTTGTTGGTAGATTTTTACAGTTATTACTTTTGTAATGTATTTTAAATCTTACTGTTTTTTTTCTTCAGAAAGCATATTCAAATGTAAGGCTATAACACTATAAAAAGTAAAAGTCAATAAAATATTAGATAATTGCTGAAAATATTTGTAAAAATTACTAGGTTGTTAAAAACCTCCCAAAAAATAGTTCACTTAGAGTTCGTAAATTTATGTTAATTCTGGTCATTCGTACTTCGTTGTCAACACCTAAGGCCGTCAATTACATCAATCCGCACGTCAGAAAAAAAGAACGCGTTGTGAGGAAATACTATTATACTACTTTTTTGTCCTATAAGTAAGCAATATTTGTTTCAATCAGATTAATTTAACTTTAAATTTGTTAGTTGTCCTCAAATAACGCGTCACGAATATATATTTTATTTTTGGAAGTTTTTTAAAACAGATAATTAAATATTGTTTGCAAATGTCTTAAAATGTGAAAAAATGGCCGTTTTTTATAGATTTTGGGATTTCTATGAAGAAATATAGTTTTAAGGTGTGCTATATTTATTGGATAAAGTGATCAATATCAGAGACGGAGAGTGTGTAAATATAAAAGTGAACCTTGAAGTAAGTCACTCAGAGGCGACAGGATGTTTCATACTGGACGCAATCGTCAGGTCTCTCTCTCTCTCTCTATATATATATATATATATATATATATATATATATTTCCACATACACACACACACGCAAACATATATCAAAAAATAAACATAAACATTTTATAAAATCACTACAAAAATAATAGGGATTTTGTTTCAACACTTCTGGTGCCTTGTTAAATGATGGTGAGGAGAACTCTTTTAAAAATAGTATTTTTGGTTATTGTAATTTATTCCGTCTACAACAATCCTAAACTTTGATACATATATAAACATACACACGCACCCCCCACCCATATATATATATATATATATATATATATATATATATATATATGTGTGTGTGTGTGTGTGTATATATATATATATATTTATAGATATATATAAATGCATATATATATATATATATATATATATATATATATATATATATCTGTATATTGTAAATATATTTGATATATTTGGTCTGAAGAGATGGACGTCTGAGTCCACGAAATAAATTATCACCTGACCGAATGATCTTTTAAGGATTCTGTATTCCTGATATATATATATATATATATATATATATATATGTGTGTGTGTGTGTGTGTGTGAAAATATATAGAAAATAGGAAAGAACTTGTTAGATAAATAATCCAAAGTTCTTTAGTATTTTTGTTATTATTTTAAAAAAAAACAGTGCTCGATACAAAAGTAGAGCCTAAATATAATTATTTATTTAAAATATGATTCCATCGCTACATAAGTGTTCTCATGTTTCAAAACAAGAGCCGAAAACTTCAATATAATTATTTGAATTAAATTGAATTAAAGTACCAAGCTCTGTTCCATCTTCAAACGAATTTTTTTTGGAATAACTAATTCTTGAAATTTACGCGTTTTTAAAAGCATATTCATTATCAAAATTAAAATTACTATGGTAACGGCTAGAGCAATTATTTAAAAAAATAGAAAAAAGGGGTCGTAAGGGTTAATAATTTGTATCAATATCTCAGTTACATTCAAAGAGGTCAAGTCAGGATAAGGTTGGGGTGTCTAAATTTCAAGCGGAAGATGACATCGTCTAGTCTGGTTAAGTGTCTATGGAGATTTATTTATTTTTTATTTCATTTTCTTCCTTGAAAGGGTTTTGTGTATATAAAAAACTGTCATAATTAGCTAACATTTGTTTTTTTTGACGACTTCATAAAAGTTTTTTTTCTTTTTTTTTTATTGGGTAGGGCTTTTAAACTTTTTATTTAGACTATGGAGTTTAAAATTTGTATTTATTATTTAATTGTTTGTTTGTTTGCTATGCTAATTATTCAATGCGAAAATTTGATGATGTCGGCAAAAAAACCGTTAACTCGTGTCTGTTGTTTAATAAATTTTCATTATTTAGAAACTTGATAATGTGTAGTTTTTCATGTAGGCATAAAGGGCTTGCGTCATCCCAAGTATTACAAGTTCTAGTTTTGTTTATAATTTTACTCTTGGTGTTTTATTCATTTCTTCAAATGCCAAATATATATATATATATATATATATATATATTTATATTTATATATATATATATATATATATTAATATATATATATATATATATATAAATATATGGATATAGATCCGACAGTATGAAGAAAAAATGTACAGAAAAAACAAACAAAATTCTTAATATGAAGATGGTCTTAAATAGACCGAAACGTCCGACGTTGACTTTATATTAACATTAATACAGCATAATTGCATATTAAGATTTTTG